TGTCTATAAATACTTACACATCGCAACAGCGTGGGCAGTAGAGCTTCACCATAGCTTCTCCAGGAACATCCGAGAGCCCTAGAATATCGAATTCATGTGGACAGAAAAAAGCGGAAAAAATGTTTCATTATATGTTCACCAATGGGAAGCATAGCTTGATTTTCACAGTATACACGCGGACAAACGCCAAAGTCGTGATCACGCCACTTTTCAACCATCTGAAGTGTAAAAATTATCATACAGAATAAATGTCACCAAGTGAAAGAGAAAATCAAGACCTGGCCAATTCCTCTGTTAGTTAGAATATATCTTGCATGGATTAGACCATACAGCATTTCAGCTGCTTGTTCGACTAGGTCAGTATTTGTCGGGTTATCCTCCATATCGTCCTCTGAAACAGGTAACAACAACCTCACAATTTTTACTGCTTGAGCGATCCCCAACGTGCTGAGGCCGACACATCCAAACGAATATTACAACTAACTTGCTGACAAATTGAATACAAATCGTTCACCTGGCTCTAAATCTAGGATCATATCGAGAGCCTGACGATATTTTGGAACCTGCTCATTGAGACCAGTAAGGTTAAAGCGATCTTGTATGTACTCTTCATCAACCTGAAAAACATACGTTGTTTCAAAAAAAGTGGATTGCTAACACTGTAAGCGAACACAAAAGCGGAATTACCTCACAGAAGAATTCGTTTCCTCTAAGTCCACAAAACCAGGTGATCCACGACACCTGAAACCAAGGGTTTACAATGAATAAGTGGCAAGAACAGTAAATGATAACAATATAAGATCTTCAGGATATAACAAGTGCACTAGTAGGCTTTTTTGGAGTTGCGATGGATAATGACCCATGAATCAGGCATTTTCTAATCCTCTTGGACAGCTTATCTCACAGTGTTTGAATGGGCAAATGCCTAATTGTCAAAGGTCACTTCAAAAAATAATGCGTATCCCATTAGTCGAATGGTTTCAAATAGTCACAGCCAGTGACAGAACTGAAATAATTTAGGGGGTTAACGCTCTGTCTTACCGTTGTTCTGTTTTTCATATATAACCTGAATGGAACTCTCTTTTTATCTCCTATTCGCTACCTCACACACGCGTATAGAAACCTGTAACCCTTCCATAAAAATGAGTTTAAATGACGTATTGCATCATTCATTAAATAGAAATCCTACAGTGTTTATGGTAAAGCTGTGTTTGAGTGTGCTTATTCAAAATATTCTCTGAGAATGCAAAATAAACGCAAAATTATAGCAGTAAATAATGGACATTTTAGCTTCACAACTAAAACTGTTTGTTACATAAAACACTTTTTGTTCGACTAACGATTGATAAAAGAGATTTCCCGCAGAAATAGCTCAAGACATTTTGCACCCTCGAAACTCACGTGACTAGCCACATCAACCAACATAAATGTGTGACCATCACATGTAATGTTCGAAAATCAATACTGCACTTGTCAGAGCCTACGAAAAGTCAAGAAATGTATGACTGGTTATTCACAAAAATTGATAGTACGAGAATTTGAGTAACTTTGCCTGAAACTCGTTTAAATCATAAAGATCACAAACGTCCTTTCGTCAGACAACAGCGGACTATGGGCAGACAATAAGATTCGCTAAACTTGAATAAAAAA